TTTAGTCTAAGCATTATATGCTTTTAATTTATACTTTGTTTTATAATTTAGAATATAATAACTAGACTAAATCTATTTAGATTACTGGAAGTATTAAAGACTCTACCCTGAGAGAATATATATTCACTAGTAATTAACTTCATAAATCATTTTTTATTTTTTTTATACATTTTATACTTCTTTAATATTTTTCAATTTGTTTGTTTATAAGGAATTAGTTTCTTAGATTTCATTACTAAAAATAAAATTTGTGAATATGTATTATGTATTGGTCATTATAGGTCAATTATATTTCATACCTTCATAATAGAAAATAAATTTTTCTACACCTAATACATCTTTCTGTTTAATTTAAAAAACTTCCAGATTTAATCACATAATATTTAATAATTGTAAAGATGGAAAATCCATTATATAGATTGGATTCCTGGTGTAATATAAGTTGGTGATATCAATACATTCAATCGTGTGTGTTTTACACTACATTAGGTATGTGTTCCCTTTAAAATTTAATATTAGAATACCAATATTGATTCTAATTATTGTTTCCAAAAATGTATGGATTGATGTTTTGATTGAAGTGATATTTTTAGTTACTATTGGCATAGATATGTATATCCTGTATATGTTATGTCTGTATATAAACATGTGTCAAAAATATGTATGGTACAAAGTATATAAAGTTGTTTCGTATATTTGCTCAAAAATTTGCTCTAGCTGGTGAATATTTGTATACTAAACGAGTACTGCCACACAACTATTAGTTCTAATATACTTTACGATATGATAATGTTTTGTTAATGAACTCTCAAAAACATTAAAAGTGAAAGGTAATTTCCTTTATTTTTTATTTGAATTTATATTAAGACAAATACCGCTATTATTATTATTGAGTAGATAAAATGTTGAAGTTAGAAATTGATAGGTTGCCTAAATATGTACGAATACTTATCAGAAAGTGGAGCACGACAGTCAAATTGGCTTATATAAAAATTCGGCACAGTTTATTCAAGTTTCTTGTGGTTGACAGCAATATTTTAAACAAAATAGTTAAGTGCGGAACAAAAATATATATATTGAAAATGAAAAAAAACAAGCAATGTACTTCAAATAATGCTAAATTCATTGTCGATGACTCGTTATTTTTTGTTACGATTAGTTCCGATTTGAGTACTAGTGAGAATGGCAGTGATTGTTGGGAAGAGCGAGTGGTTTTTCTTTGCGTTACTTATTTGTTTGGCGATTACACATAATATCGGGGCTGAGATTTTTAATTGGGGAACTGTTAACAAATATGCGTCGCCCATATTTGAGAGTGAAATAAAATTGAGAAGTGAAGATGGTTCTGTCGAGTTTTATTATCCAAACGATGTGAGTAAAAAAGTGTAATTCAATACTGATTTTCAATATTGAGATATTAATTGTACAAAATTTTGTGTAAACACTTTAAAATTTTTTTTTTGATATTAAGATAAGTGAAGCACATGTATTCATTTTATATATACTAACTTCTAGTTAGTATGGTGGTATAAAAACAATTCTAGACAGCGAGTTGTTACAACGAGTTGCTTGAAAACTTAATTAGTTTCTGGTGTTAAGTGAAAATTTTGTGTCAGCTATGGTTGATTAAAGACAATGTAGATGCGATAAATTATTTATCTATGATAACTGTTGAATATGTAAACAAAAAGAGTTTTAAATAATAAGACGTGTTTCAGTTGTTTTGATTAGAATTCATTAATTAATAGAGTGTGAAACATTATATCAAAAAGAAAAAAATTTTTAAGTGTTTAATGCCTTTGCTATTGTTCATTCAAGATAACAGT